AAAACCTCTCAAAAAAAAAAAAAAATCCCCTCAAAGCAACATCTAGACTGGTGTGTTACTAAGTAACTGAGTATAAACTAGCCAGGTTGACACATAAATGCCAACATTGCAATGATGGGAAAAATATCAGTTTCAAGAAGAGTTGAGAAAAACAAAAAATATATAATGAGATAAGGATGTCCAAATAATATATTGTAGTAACTAATATAGCCAAACTAAAATAATTAAGAAACAAAAGTACATGAACACGAGAGGACAAAATATTATTTATTGTATATATTACAAATATATATAAGAACACAGAATTAAAGTCCTATTTGTAAAGGTTTATGAAAGATGTAAAATCGCCTAGTAGAATCTGTATTTCCACTTGATCTGATTACTTCAAGTTTCTTTCTAAAGATGCCATACATTTAATGATAGGATCAAATAGAAGGTTATTTAAGAAAAGGGTGGGTTATCCCAGGTATTGATAAATGCTAGGTCTTTGGGAGCTACTCACATGCTTCCTTGTCTCTGTAGTTTTGGTCCTCTTCCCAAGATGAAGTCGAATAACACTTCCAGCGGTAAGTTCCCATAAGTTTTTTGTTCTGTTCTTTGATAATATGACATGCCTTGCCTATTTTCCAGAGTTTAGAAAATTTTAAAGCATGAACATGACATGAATGACAGATTATTGGAGCAGGGGCTGTTTTTCAGTGATAAATTATGTCAAAGGATTGATGGGGGCTTTGAAGTTGAATATTTGAATTTAAAATGTAATATGGCAGCCACGAGTCCCATGGTTTAAAACTTTAGTCTACATAGGTAGATTAAAGCAAAAAATGATGAATAGGTAATTAAGAGGGAAATGTGGGCTAAGAATGCATGTAAATTCCCAATTCTCAGTCTATTTTTTTCTTTTTAAAAAAATTTAACATGTCAGATGTGATTCTTATTGCTTCTTGGTCTTTTGGCTAAGATCAAGTGTAGATGTGATTCTTACAGGTAATGTTTAAAGCAAAATCCCATACTGAATTATTCTGAATAGGATTACTAATGTAAAAATGAAACTAAGTCAAATTTCTACAGTTATCAAACAGATACTATACATAATATAATTATAGCAGGTAAAATGTATTAAAACCAATGAAGATACAACTTCCATATCTTCTTTAGTCTACCCAGGTGCTCAAGTAGACTTAAGTTTTAAAATTAATACTTTAGTAGAGAAAAAAAGAATATGGACTAGCTAACATACAATATTTAATTTGGAGGTCAAACAGTAGTGCAGCAGTAATACAAATGGACTCATATGGGAAAGTTCTGAGTTCTCATCCCAGGGCCTCCCAGTACATGTTAGGCATAGGTGCATGGGCCTGTGATCTGGGCTGGCTGAGGCTGGAGGTGGATCGTGGTGTGTACCCTATTTAGCGTGTATGTGCCTCTCCCTAGATAAATATCTCCTTCAAGAAAATAAACATACTTAAAAATACATAATAGATTATAATCTATTATCTTTTTTATCTGTTTTTACTCATAAACCTTTTTATTCTTTCATGAGTTCTACTTATTTCTTTTAATTCTCCTCCTTTCTACTGTTTCTTATTTTCTTTATAATTTCATAAATTTTCTTGGAAACTTAAACCATTAATTATAATTTTTCTGATATATTATTAAAACCTTTATATGTCCAACTTTGCATGACATTAGCTACATTCCCAAAGTACAAATAGACAGTAATAATTAGACTCATAGGGTTTCAACCTGAAATAAATATAAGACATATATATGCACAACAGTTTTTAACCCAAATATACCCATAGTCCCTTTTCCCTTTTCAACAGGCACACTACAAAAAGAAATTCAGAGAAATAGGATTGTTTATAACCAGAGACAAAAGGATATTTTTCAAGCATGGTTGAAACACAACCCTTATCCTGATAAAGCTACCAGCAAACAATTGGCTATAGATATTAATATTCCAGAGTCTAAAATTAAGATAGGTACCAGATTTCTATTTCAGAGTCTGCCAGAGTTGAGGTAAAGAAAAAATGGGGCTCAGCACTCTTGGGTAATTCTCTTATATCAAGATTTTGCTAAGATCTTTCCTGTTATATAATATTTTTCAAACATAAACAAGAATCTTGTGTGTGTGTGTATGTGTGTTACTTTGATTTTGCTACAGGGCATGTTCATTTGCCAGAGAGAGAGAGAGGGAGGGGGAAAGAGAGAAATCACTCACCAGGATGAATGACCACACTGCAATCTCTTCTCCTCCTTTTGGGATTTTAGGCTGCACATACTTACACCCAGCATCTTTTTCAGGGTCCAGGATTTGAACCACGCAGTCAACCATGTGTGATCCAGTTGCCTTAACCACCATGCCACTGGCCCTGTTATATATTTTCCCAGTGGTGGGACTATCATTCATGTGTATTCGCTGACAGGGAAAGCAGAATATACTGGTTTGGGCTCTTCCAATAGCAAGTTGGAATTTTATTTTAAATGTTAGAAAATATAGAGAATTGGCTCACCAGGATAATGATGTGGTGTGGAAGGCATTGCACAGGGAAGCCATCTTGAGAGCTCTGCCATCTTGAGAGCTGTCCACCATCTTAGAAACGCTTGGGTTTCACTTCCTCATTGAGCAAACCGTTTCTCAGAAATCATGTGACCAACCATTCTGAGGTGGGGTTGGGTTTCTAGGCAACGGGAGAGATCCACCCACATCAATGATTGACTCATACTGTTCTATCTCATTTGCATTTTGGGCAACCAATTGGTGCCCACCAGCCTGTAAATAAGCTCACAATTCTTTCTTAATAAAGGAGACTTGATCAGCACCTTGTTTTGTCTACACTGTTTGTCCCTTCTCTCACTCCCTCCCCCAGGAAACTGTTCGACTGTCCTGCGGGCTGGAACACATGGTGACTGAACAGGGACCTGAGTATGAGGGTTCCAGTGAAGAGCACTGGAATAAAGAAAGCCGCAGCAGAAAACAGAAGAGGACTGACGGCAGAGAATGGTCCCAGTAAGTAACAAAGGTTGCTTACTCATAAGTAATAAGGGTGATTATGGGACAAGAAATGAGTAAACATGAGTTATTTGTTCATGGGCCTAATAAAGCCCTTAAGATATACAGAGTTAAAATTAAGATTAAACACTTACTTTCCTTTTTTGATTTTCTAAAAGAGGTGTGTCACTGGTTTCCCCAAGAAGGTACCATTGATAAACAAAGGTGGAAGAGGGAAGGTGACGCTTTAAAAGATTACTATGTCACCTTTGGACCGGAAAAGGTCCCAGTAATAACCTTCTCTTATTGGAACCTAAGAGATGAGATCATTCAGTTCTGGCCAACTGATCCTAAATTTGCGGCAGTCGTCACAGAGGGAGAACAAATTATGCAAAGAAATAAAACGCAGACAGATAGTGAAGATGCCATAGAAACTAAAAAAGACCCTGATGCCAAAAAAGAAAAAGATTTAATTTGCTTAGACAATGAGGAAGAAGTAACAGATCTTAATAAACAATCAGATGTTGGGAACCAGCATTTAGTGTAATGGCTATGTCGCTGGACTCCCATGTGGTCAACCACGGTTTGCATCCCGGACCCGGTGGCTTAAAACTCACGCCAGGCGCGTGTGCGTGCATGCCTAAGATCCCGAGAGGAGAATGGAGAAGGGATTGTGGCGTGACCATCCCCCCTGGGGGGTGATTTCTCGCTTTCTGTCTCTATGTCTTTCTCTGTCTGTCTGGCGAGCGCACAAACCCCTCAAAAAAAAAAAAAAAATCAGATGTCAAGCCAAAACAAATTTAAAAACTGAGAGTCAATGGTAAAGTTACAAACTTCAAAAAGCCCCAGAAAAAAATTATACCCATCTCTTACAGAACTTAAAGTCCATTTAGATGACCAATTAACTGATTCTGAAAAAGAAACTTTGGAAACACAGGCCGCCAGATACATTAATCCAAAATGGCCACCTGAAGAAGAAATTTTAGAAACACAGGCTGCCAATTACAATAATCCAAAATGGCCACTTTTCAAAAAACGACCGCCATCTTACAATTCAGTCACATCCACACCACCTTTGGTGATGCTGGTTATCAATGCTAGGGAAGAGGTTCTGAATAAAATTAAACAACTTGAAGAATAAATTCAATTAGAAAAGAAACATCAAGACCTAATATCACAATTAGAAAAACTGAGAGTGGGTAAATCTAAAAGTGCAGATCCCTCACAGAATTGTTACCAGCCCACATTTACCCCTGACATGAAAATTAAACCAGTTCAGACACTACAATCATTAATGAACCTTGAGGAACAGGAACCCTTCCTAGTAATAGAGAACATAGATCAACAAGGACAAGCATGGCACCATCATAATGGTTTTGACTTTAAAATCATAAAAGAAATTAAAAACAGTAGTTGCTCAATATGGAGCTACGGGGGGGACCAGCAGTTAGCGTAATGGCTATGTCGCTGGACTCCCACGTAGTCAACCACGGTTCACGTCCCAGACCCGGTGGCTTAAAACTCACGCCGGGCACGTGTGCGTGCATGCCCAAGATCCCGAGAGGAGAATGGAGGAGAAGGGATTGTGGCATGACCATCCCCCCTGAGGGTGATTTCTTGCTTTCTGTCTCTCTCTGTCTGGCGAGCGCACGTGCCCTATAGCGAAAAAACCTCTCAAAAAAAAAATATATATATATATATGGAGCTACAACTCCATATATTTTAGCCATAGTTGAATTGGTGGCAGACAATTGGCTTACACCACTGGA